TTTACATGTTTGTGCAAATTTTTTGAACATATTTGTTCCCATATTGTTAAATTATTTGTCCCCATATTGTTGACTTTTGTGTCCAAATTATTTTAACATATGTATGTCAATATTTTTACCTATCTGTCCAAATTTTTTGAGGTTATCTGTCCCAATATTTGAACTTATCTATCCAAATAATTTTAATATATGTGTCCAAATTATTTTAATCTATCAGTACAAATTATTTTAAGCCATGTATATTGCAACTCTTTTGAACTTATTTATCCCCATTAACTTATGTATGTCAATATTTTTTTTTTCTATTTGTAATTTTTTTTAACCTATTTGTCCAAATTATTTTAACATATCTTCTCATATTCTTAACCTATCTGTCTACTTATTTTAATTAATAAATTTTTACTTATATGTTTAAATTATTTTAACTTATTTGTTTTCAATATAGAAAAATACGTACATCAATTTGAACAGATAGAGATACCTGAAACATAAAAAAAAAAACATTTGTGGGATTACATCTTTAACATGTCATAACTTTACACTTGGTAATCTATTTTGGACAAATTTTGTTTTGTTTTGTTGTTTTTGTTTTTAGATTTATGCATATGAAACTGCGGAAGGCGATTTTGAGTGATTACTTTCGCCCAAAAAAAAAAATAAATTCAATATTAATCTTATTTGAAAGATCTTGAAAAAATGAATTTACAGATATCAATTTTATTAAGAACAAATTTGTAAAACTCAAGTTATGAGGAGCAACTTTTAATTATTCGAAACGTTCATATTGTAAGGTCCGTTCAGTAGATTATCTATAAAAATAAAAAATTAATTGGATATCTTTAGTCCCATGATTGGTTTTTAATTGTTTTGGAAGACATATAGTGTCACGACCCAAACCCGGCCCTATGGGTTTAGCACCGTAACCGGCCAGTAATCCGAGATTACCGAAGGCCTGCCGAACAGTAGAATAATAAAACAGAGTACAGGGCCTGGCGAAAGCCAATACAGTAAATGAATAGTGTCCATTGAGCTGTGTCAGTCTGTATGCCAAAAAGATTTTTCATGCATTCATACATACAAACAGTACAGTCTATACAATAATTTACAGTCACACAGTACAGGGACCTAATCCCTTGATAACAGTACAGTAAACATTCAGTCTATACAGAACAGTAGACGGTACAGAAGGGGGAATTGTAAAACACCCCTAAGCCTTAACACGATAGGCTCGGAACCTCGCAGTGAGGCACATAGGCTGGCTTGACAAAACTGGAGTCTAACCCACGCTCCTAGCTCCGGTCTGGTGGCTGAGCACCTACATATATATATAAACAGTGAGCTAAAGCCCAGTGAATAACATAATGCGTAAAGAGGTTATGAATGAAATGTCCTTACAGTAATGAAAACAGTTCAATTCAATCAGTAATTCAGTTGCTCAGTACAGTAAACAGTCATATGTGGTACATCCATCAGCATAACAGTAACAGTAGGTCTTAAAAGACCGAACAGTAATGATGGCCATGCAACATCTATTTTTATTTTTATTCCACTTCCATTTTTATTCAATTTCCTATTCTATTCAATTTCCATTTTTAATTAATTTCCAAATAGATCGTTAAGGTATAGTGGTTTCTTGAATGATTTTCCATTTTTTATTTTATACAACTTCCATTTTTATTTTTATTCCACTTCGATTTTTATACAGTTTTCTATTCCATTCAATTTCCTTTTTTTATTTAATTTCCAAATAGATCATTAAGATATAGTGGTTTCTTGAATAGACTTCTATTTTTAATTTTATGCAACTTCTATTTTATTTTTTTTTCAACTTCCATTTCTATTCAATTTCCTTTTCAATTCAATTTTTTTTTTTATTTAATTTCCAAATAGATCGTTATGGTATAGTGGTATCTTGAATGAACTTCCATATTTAATTTTATACAACTTCCATTTTTTTTCAATTTCCTTTTGTATTGAATTTCCTTTTTTATTTAATTTCCAAATAGATCGTTGAGGTATAGTGGGTTCTTCAATGAACTTCTATGTTTAATTTTATGCAGTTTCCATTTCTATTTTTATTCAATTTCCATCTCCATTCAATTTCCTTTTTTATTTAATTTCCAAATAGATCGTTAAGGTATAGTGGTTTCTTGAATGAACTTCCATTCTTAATTTTATGCAACTTGCAATTTTATTTTTATTCCACTTCCATTTTTATTCAATTTTCTTTTCTATTTAATTTTCTTTTTTTATTTAATTTCCAAATTGATCGTTAAAGTATCATGGTTTCTTAAATAGGCTTCCATTTTTAATTTTATGCAACTTCTATTTTTGTTTTTTTTCAACTTCCTTTTCTATTCATTTTCCTTTTTTATTTAATTTTCAAATAGATTGTTAAGGTATAGTGGTTTCTTGAATGAATTTTCATTTTTAATTTTATACAACTTCCATTTTAATTTTATTCAACTTCGATTTTTATTCAATTTTCTTTTCTATTCAATTTCCTTTTTTTATTTAATTTCCAAATTGATCGTTAAGGTATACTGGTTTCTTGAATAGGCTTCCATTTTTAATTTTATGCAACTTCTATTTTTGTTTTTAATCAACTTCCACTTTTATTCAATTTCCTTTTCTATTCATTTTCCTTTGTTTTTTTAAATTTCCAAATAGATCGTTATGGTATAGTGGTTTCTTGAATGAACTTCCATATTTAATTTTATGCAACTTCCATTTTTTTTCAATTTCCTTTTCTATTCACTCAAAATGATTGTTTCAAGATGCAATACATTGTTGCATTCAATGCAAGGGTAGTAACCAACCAAATACTTCGATTATTTGATTAAAATCCTATTAATGTACCTGCAAATATACTCATTTGTTGTTGTTGATGAAAAACTGTTAGCATACTACAGCATACGGATGAGATCTTTGTTATAGGAAGCATAGCATTGTTTGTTATTAGTAAGGAAAAAGTGTTACTATGTTTCCAAAAGAGTTTTGTGGTGGTGTTAATTTTACTGTTGTACTGAAATATGTTTGGTTAAGTACTATCCAAGCCGAATTGTAAGATTCGAATGTTTGGCAAAGATGGATAATGTCTCCCCTATTATAGGTATAGCGATCCCGGGTTTACCCTTGTTGTATAGTGATCCGGACATGTGTCCGTGGATGTTGGTGGTTGTTTATTATCTTGTTTGCATCCTCTTAACTGGTATATTAAGATATACAATGTGTTGGGCAGGTTTGTTTCAGCCTTCGGTAATCACGGATTACTGGCCATCACGGCACCAAACTACTAGGGGCGGTTTGGGGGCGTGACACCTAGTGTTGCTGCCCAGATTTTTGGCCCTTCGCTCGAGCCAAGAGTTTGTCGCTCGAGCGAGAGTTGAGTTCGTGTTTGGTGGGTCGAGCCAGAGTGACTTCGCTCGAGCGAGCGATGGCGTCTAGTTCTGGACCTGAGAGTTGTATTTCTTGGCTCGAGCGGTCTGGTTTGTTCTTCGCTCGAGCGAGAGGTCTGTCGCTCGAGCGTGCTTCTGGTTGCAGACCTGAAGGTTTGAGTTTTTGGCTCGAGCGAGGACTTCTTGGCTCGAGCGAGAGTTTTCTGTGTCTGGTCGCTCGAGCGACAAAGGCTTCGCTCGAGCGAGCGTGTTTTATATTTTCTGTGTCTGGGCGCTCGAGCGACCAAGTCTTCGCTCGAGCGAGCGTGTTTTATATCAGCAGACAGTAGCGTTTTGAACATCACTTTTTCATCTTCTTTTTTTGATCAAACCCTAGATCCAAGACTCTCTCTCTCTACACTTATATTCTCTCTAAGAATTGATCTCCCTAGAGTGTGAACCTAGCCTAGGGCCTTTGTTAAAAAGATAGAGGGCGTTGAGATCTTTGATTTAATCTGAAAAAGTTTTGATTTGGAGCACGTTGATCTTCGAGTCTTCATCTCCTTTTGGCTCAAACTTCGAGGTAGGGATATCCTACTCCTCTCTATGGATTTTGTCTTTAAATTTTGGTATTTTGAGATGTTGGGGTTGGTTTGGTAATTTTGTGAAAGTTTGGGGCTTTTGTGTAATTTTACAAAAGTTGGGGTTTTATTCATAATAAACCTAGATGCATGTTTGGCATAGAAAAATAGAATGATTGTTGAATCATTGATGAAAATGGAACCTAAGGGTTGAAATGGTAATTATGGAAAATGGCCTAATTACATTGTTTAATTAATTGGGATAATTAATTGGTGAGTTTCCAATATAACTCGACGACTACAAGTAAGAGTACAAGAAAATCAGCAATTGAAAGACGAGGTGAGCTTGTTAAAACAACAACTAGCTAATACGCATCAGGAGAAAAGAGATCTAGAGAGGAAAATTTCTCAGTTAGAGAATGCGGTGCAATATTATGCAACGGTTATAATGTCAAGACTCACAGAAGTCGAAAATAGAGAGAGGCATGCAAAAGAGGCTCATGAAAAGTTGTTCAGAGAAGTGAAACGCAAAAAATCTGTGAAGCCTTCTCAAACCGTACATTTAATCGAGCAATAATTTCTCTTTTTGAAAAAAAATTGCATGCATTTCTCTTTGAAAAAGTTGTTTGCCTTTTCAAAAATAAAAAAATAATATAAATTTTGATGTAGATAAGGAGGAAAAAAAATTAGTTGATAACTATATATACTCCTAAAATTATGCATAGAATATATAAACGCCCTCTTAAGATTTTTTTTTTTTTATAATTGTTTTAATCTCAAAATATTACATAATATGAGTCTCTCCCTAAATTAATGCACTAAAAATAACACAAATTGTAAGAAACAAACTACCTATTTATAATACCAAGGACCATTAAGATCCGGCCATAAACAACTACACCGAGTGCACTAGCATAAAAGGAGAAAATACAAATAAATAAAAAAATCATACCAGGTAAAAGCAATTGTTATTAAATACAAGAGATTTTAGAGCACATACAGCCATATAAAAAATATCACACATTGCAAAAATAATTTTAACATGCTGATCGACGATGATGTTGATGATCAGAAAGAATGGAGAAGATCGGGGATGAATGTTTGTAGATTGATAATGGATCTTAGTGGATCAACAATGGATCGTGATGGATCGGTAATTGATCTTGATGAATCAGAAATGATGTCGAAGATCGGTGATCATGGTTTTGTGTAGAGCAGTGATGGATCTTGGTAGATCGGTGAGGGATTTAGGTGGATGATGGTAGTGATGAAAGTGATGGATGATGGTGGTGATGGAGTCAGAGTTGGATGATGAGAGGGAGCGAGAGCGAGTAAGAGAGAGAGAGAGAGATAGGAAAACA